AACGTAACAGAGTAGGTACATTTGAGCTTTAATTAACATGGCCATAGCAAAGACCAACCATATTAATAAATGTCTAAACATTTAATGAGGAATTCGTAAAATCAACTGACACCGGGTGGGGTCTGAACCCACGACCTAAGCGATCCGCGCCGATGCTCTAACCAACTTGAGCTATCTACCGTGTCCCACGGAAGTCAGTCTGATTCTTAGTAAGCTTTTACGTTTAATAAGCTTACCTAAGCTAAAACAGTGTCAGAACAAATTAAATAACGACGGGTTGCACTCCGGGAGTGCCGGCAGAAGTGAAAACTTGAATATTAACGTTGTGCATTTTTGATATTTTGGAATGGTTAGGGAATAACTTTGCACGAATTTCTTTAATTATCAGTATAAAAGTACTATCATTTATGTGGTAGAATTCAATATTTATTTATTGCGCTATCGTACACAAACATGACAATTTATATTACACTAGCGGCCCGCCCTCGCTTCGCTTTGGCGTAGAGCTGAAGTGTAGACTACAGTTTTTGTTCTCAGGCTTGTATTATACACTTATACCTGCATGCAAAGTCTCAGCCCGATCGGTTTAAATTGACAAAGTTTCATACAAACTTTCATTCCCTATTTTATCCCCTTGGGGGTAGAATTGATCAAAATCCTCTCTTAGCGGATGCTTACGTCATAACATCTACCTGCATGCTAAATTTCAACCCGATCTGTCCAGTGGTTTGGGCTGTGCGTTGATAGATCACTATGTCAGTCAGTCACCTTTGAGTTTTATATATATACTAGCTGACCCAGCGAACTTCGTACCGCCCTAAAAAAAAAATTGTGAATCTAAACTATTCTCAGATCCCCTTGAATACACACAAAAAATTTCATCAAAATCGGTCCAGTCGTTTAAGAGAAGTTCAGTGACATACACACTCACAGAAGAATTATATATATAAAGATAGATTAAAAAGTTTATCTCTCGGAATTTCTCATTTAAGCGCACCTAGCGACATCTATGCTCAAATCTTGCACGGTCTATGTTGGTCTTGATCTTGCTAAAATTAGGCGATCTTAACAAGACCAAGACTGCAAGTCCAAGACCGATATTGGGCAACAATAATGCCATCGTGGTTTTAAGAAAAAGCTTCACACTCAAACATTTCAAATAAGTAAGTAATGTCTAATGCAGTGGTTCTCAAACTTTTTAAATGACGGAACCCTTTTGGGAAGCAAAATACTTGATGGAACCCTACAATAAAACAATTATTTTTATAAGTGTATTCTATATTAATCAGCATAATAAAAGTACAATGTATCCGTTACTAATTATTATTTACTTCACCACTTGGTAAGGACAATAATAGAAAACATTAAAAAAGAAAAAATCTAACTAGTGGGAGGTATGAAACTGTTTTTTATTTTTCATCAATTGCTTGATATCAGGTTTGATGGAAGAAAGTTGGAGTCTCATATCAGCTTCGGCGTCCAGTCTATTGCGATATTTTGTTTTCGTGGCTGCGTAGGTAGAGAATCCTGTTTCGCACAAATATGTAGTTGGGAACGGGAGAAGAATATCCAGAGCCATTTGGCCAAGCATTGCATATTCATCTTGGATTCTGCACCAAAAATCATTAAGAGGCGTCGTTTTGAACAATGACTCCATACTTGTGTCTGATGACATTTCTAAAAGAGATTCATATATCTCATTTGACATGTTTTCAGGCTTTTCCAAGTTGGGTAAAAAAGGATTATGAATCCAGGAGTTCACTTTAATTTTTGTATTGTGTTCTTCGGGAAAATACTTTTCAAAAGATGCGCGCATCGAACTGAGATATTGGACCAATTCTTCAAACACATTATCTTCAAACATTTCTGAGTCGTTTTCGCTAACAAACTCAGTGAGTAACGTAAAACTTTCTATTTCTTTCTTACCAATGCAAATGATCCAAAAATCTAATTTTCTTTTAAAAGTAGTTATTTTATTATAGGCCTGAAACACTGTTGTCTGTTTACCTTGCAATGATAAATTTAATTCGTTAAGTTTTTGAAAGATATCCGCCATAAAAGACAATCGGAACAACCAAGTTTTATCATACAAACGGTCCTTCAAATTAAAAGAAGTATCTGCTGAAAGAAACATTTGTAACTCGGCTCTAAGTTCAAATAGCCTTGTTAAAGTTTTTCCCCGAGACAGCCATCGCACTTCTGTATGGAGCAGCAGTGTTTTATGTTTGCTGCCATAATCTTCACACAATAATGAGAACAATCGGGATTGTAGTGGTCGTGATTTGATAAAATTAATTATTTTTACCGCTTCATCCATAACTAATTTTAGATTAGACGGCATTTGCTTCATCGCAAGTGCTTGTCTATGCAGAATACAATGACTGGAACTACAATTAGGCGCTTTATTTTTCATTCGTGACACTGCTCCTGCTGTTTTACCTGTCATCGCCTTGGCCCCATCTGTACAAATGTCAATGCAATTGTTCCAACTGAGATTATGTTCTTCAAAAAATATATTTATTTTATTAAAAATTTCTTCCCCGGTAGTGTTTGTAAGCAGCGATGAACACATAAGCATGTCTTCTTCAAAAGAACTTTTATATGGATATCTCACAATAACCAGCAGGATAGCCAAACCAGCGACATCAGTCGACTCGTCCATTTGCAAAGCGAATCGTGTATTTTGTAGACGTGTAACTAGTTCTTGTTTGACGTAGCTTGCCAGATCATGGATTCGTCGTGAAACAGTATCGTTTGATAGCGGAACAGTAGAAAGATGCTTTGCAGATTTTTCATCAAGCATACATTTTGTTATGTCTAATACACATGGTTTTATTAATTTCTCAGCGATAGTGTGCGCTTCACCTGCTTGTGCAATGCGATAGCTAACTAAGTATGATGCCTCCGTGGCCTTTTCGTTGGTAGTTTGTGTTACATGCATCATATTTTTTTGACTTTCTAATAACTGATCTTTTTTGCGAACAAAAAATTCTTTATTCTTGTCTTTAGTCTCGGGGTGTACGGTTTCTAAATGTCGACGCAATTTGGCAGGTGCCATGGAACTATTAGGAAGCAGTTTACTACAGAGCATGCAGAGAGGTGAGCCGTTGGAATCAACAAATCCGAAACTGATATAAGATTCATCATACTTCCTTTTTTTCGTCTTTGAAACCGTCGAGCTTGACGTCGTGGCACTCGTGGCATCATCTTCTGGATCGGTGATTGCTAAATTCTCCGCGCGCATTGCTTTTGAACATTCAGCGTCATTAGAAGATGTTGTTGGAACACGTTTAACACCTTTAAGCCAACGTTCCATTCTTCTTTATTTATAATGTTACAAGTCAGGATAGTGGGGTTTAAATAATGCACAATCGTTACTGCGTATAAGAGACTAAATTTAGAACCTACAGGGAAGAAATGTATAAAACTGAGACAACAGAATACAGCAGGCAGTAAAACAATGAACACCAGTTTCTCGCTAGCGAGCTTGTAAGTAGGTAGTAACTTATCGCTCCGAACGCTAATCATCAACTGACGACGCCAACGCGCGATCGCCGCTTTTATACTTAGTCCTAGACTCGATCTCAAATATTCTCGAAAATACTCGAGTCGGCACCTTTGATAAACAAAAAGCAAAAATAAAAACAGAAATTTAAAAATAGCGTTGTAAACAATATCGACTTTATCCTTTGAAGTTAGAGACGAAAGTCGCTAGTTGACAACTATAGCGTCTAATTCAGAGGCGGCTTTTATCAAAGAGACTGAGCGCTTACAAGTATACTACCCGCTCGTTTTAAGTTTGCCGCTGGCGATAGGTATGAGTGTATGACGTTCGAAATTTTTTATTTAATTGTAACAATAAAAATTGTGTACGTTAGATATTTGGGTAAAACTATGACACATTATAAGTTTTGTTGTCACGTGGGGGAGGGTACGCGCATTCCACAGACCGGCAAACTTAGAGCGAACGCGTTGTACAAGTATAAAATTGTTGAGACCAAACTTATGAGATATTGTACCAGCTAATGTAACACAAGCTTATACAAATACAAATAAATAAATAAATAACATTCATAGCGTTTTGTCTCCGCGCGGCCGCGGAGTCCGCACAGCCGCGGAGCGACCAGAGAGAGGTGTTTTGATTTTTTTATTTCTAAATTCTTGCGGAACCCCGACAGAGGTATCACGGAACCCTAGGGTTCCGCGGAACACACTTAGAGTATAGCTGGTCTAATGCATAATAAGTTGATATGTACAATTTCGCGTCGGTTGATTACTCAAAGCTAAGTAGCTCCATTTTGTGTAAATTGTCATGTGGAAACTACAGTTGCTTAAGGGCAATATTGACACGAAAACGCAATTGCACTAACAACTCTATTAATTCGCTGGCTTAACATGTAGTACGAGTAACATAAATCATATTGTATTATTATTACTTGTGGCATAATCATGCTAAATATTTCAAACACTCAAACCACAAAGCACTGAAAGCCTTGTGTTATGGGATACTAGGGTAACGGATAGAATACATATGATGAAATATATAAACATCCATGTCTTGGTACAAATGCTATATATCTATCAAACTAACATTTTCCCCATCGGGATTCGAACCCGGGACCTCACGAGTAGGCGACACCTCGAAACCGCGTACATACCACTCCCTCACAGACGTCGTCAACCCAAATAGTATAAGTGCATATTGCATACTGTATTTTGAGTTTTCTAAACAGTAAATTGACTACAAATAGTTAGTCTCGGATTTATTCACAATAGCAGTGCTACATACACATACAATCTACTTTCGCTTAACTGGGTGCTCTACATCAGAAACCAAGGCACGCCAACAAACCAATGAATTATCTACTTTGGACACCTACATCTATAATGCAATTTATGTTTTAATGTACTAACCGAGATTGATGTGTTGCATACTGGATAACATAGTCATGTAATCATTTCCTACAATCGCTCTAATAAACGTTTTTAATTTGTTACAGATGGCGTAGAAAAACGGTCAGAGATATCCATCACTAAAGCTATTAAATAACCTAATGGAAGGAGAATCGATAACGAAAAGTAATCTGATTTCGTCCATTACAAGTTTCAACACCGAGGGCAAAGAACACAATACCATAAAAGCACTTTTAAAAAACTTCATTTTAACAGACACCACTAAAATGGCTATAAAGGAAAATCAAAGTGACAGCAATAACTATGTTTATACAATACCTGTCAAACCACCTGTGCCAACAATGAACAATCGAATGAAATCAATCAATGCTGCCAAGTTAGCATTTTTGAATTCCACCGTAGAATCTTCACCGGAATCAAGACAAGATACAAATAAAAATGACTCAAACGTTCACTACGCACAAATAGCTATTACTACTGAAAGTGAAGACACTAGAAGCACTGGAGGAGGGATAAATATAAAACAAGCCCATTCTGTAAAAAATAATCTAACAGCGAATAACCCAGTCGAAATTGCACCAAATTTAAAAAAGAAAGTAGAACCACAACATAGAAAGGTTAGTTTCAAAATAAAAAATGCATCAACATCATACAGACGTCCACCGCTGGCTACCAAAACTACAATGACTTTAGCAAGTAATAAAGTTTCAGAATTGACAAAGAAATTCAATAATTTAGTTACCGAATCTCATAATGGACCAATTAAACAGATGAAAATTTCAAAATCTATTGAGGACTTAGAATATTCTTCTCGATGTTCAGCCAGTAATACTTCTACCCCTTCATCAACTTTGAGTTCAAGTCCGAACATTAAAATAGTTTTACGTCAAAAAAGAGGTTCAAAAAGGAGAAATCACAAAAAACGGTGTTCTAGCATGGATTCCATAGACAAACTAATAATTACCGATAATTCATCAGCCAAATATCGCATAATTCGTTCTAAATCCGATGGAACTAAAATTCCAAAAACACCAAAGAAGCGTTTAAAATATTTGGACTCTAGCGAACATTGTAGTGGATCTGATTCTGTAGATGGCACTCCGGTGAAACCTTTAAAAAACCAATCAGTTAAAGAAAGTTCGGGGGAAAACAATGTTGTTAAAAACGTTATCAAAAAATTCGAATGTGAAATTATAGCTCAATCTAATTCTAATAATACTTTAAGAAAACAAACCGAAAAAACAATGAGTACAATTCCGTTAAAAGAGAAACCGAAAGTACCTGAAAAGAAATCTACGTTAGTTTTAACTAAAAATATAGTTGTAAAAGATGGAGTTCCAAAAATTAAGACCATTAAACCGTCTTACAGCGACTCACTGGTGAAACAAGATAAAAGTATAAATATGGAGGTGAAAAAGAAAGACCTTCTGTATGACCGAAAAAAATACAGAACGAACTACTTCCACTCTGATAAATTACCACTAAAAGCCGTTGAAATTATTCAGGAGGATGACAATGAAGTAAAACCTAACCAAGAAGAGCTGAAATTATCTCCTGCCAGTCACGAAATTAAGGAAGAAGACGGTAAAACCTATGAGGAGCTTAACCCAAATATAACCCCTAATGATTCGTTTTTATGGAGACGGAAAAGTAGTACTCAAATTTATTCTGATAGTGAGAAATCTGTGTCGGATAGCCCTTACAGTTTTATAAGTGTAACAATGAATGAGATCACTATTACTTGCACTGGCCCGGCAACCGAAGTTCCAGTTAATGAAGAATCTCAAATATCAGAGAAAAGTGAATCTCAAAGTACTGATAAGAGAGAATCAAATTCCGATTTTGAAAGTAATCTAGTCGAAGCTTATAACAAAGAAGTTCTTGTAGGATTTACATCTAAACCGAAAAATGAACCGGTCATCGACGATGATTACGAACCCTTAGAACCAAGAAACACAGAAAATATTGTGATAATACCAGTCAAAATGATAGACAGGGGTTCAAAAGTAAATTGCCCCTTGCCCGAAATACCAAAAGAGGCAGACAAAGATGTTGAGACTCCGACAATAACCGTGAAGGAACCTATTTACCAATGCCTATTAGAGATGAGGTCACATCCTGAAGGGGATGAGAGTAGCTTACACAATTATGAACTTTGCGATGATCAATTGGAAGAAAGAACTCGCGGTGACGGTGATAGCGACGATGGCTATGAATATTGCAAGTCACCGATCAAACCTTACTGTTTGACCTCAAGCTCAGGCATTCAGATCGCGGAAGATTACAGACCTTCCACAGATAATAACAAAAACTACGCAATCTCAAAATCAGTTAGTGGAACTTCAACCGTAAGCTATGAAAAGATTGGTTCGGAGCGAATATACGAAAAAATTCCACCTCGACCGCCAAAGTCCAAAGATAGTAGTCCAAGCTACAGTAGCCGCCATTCCTTTATATCTTCAGACTACACAGGGTACAACGATACGGAAAATATTTACGATACTATCAAACATGGTGATAGTGTATCACTGTCACATTGCTACGAAAGTATTCCGAATAGCCCAAGTATGGTAAAATTAAGAAACAATTTGAAGAAACAGCTGTCTTCAGCGGTTCAGAAACGGTTATCTTTTGACACGGTGTCGAACATTAGTCAGTCAACAATGTCTAGTGAACAAAAAACGAACAGCATCTATGGGCAACGATCAGTTCTCAGCTACAACGGTCAAGAGATCACCTTCCAAGTGCCAAGCAGTGAAACCAGCGTGAGCGACCGAAGCGACAGGAGCGATGATTGGGTCGATGTTTCTGATGAAGAGAAAAATGAGGAACAAAAAATCATCATGTAAGTAACTTCAAGATATTTTTTTTTGCAATAGCGTTTAACGCGTCTCTATCTTCGATTGATCAAAGGTCTCTGTTTATTCCATCATGAATAACTCTGTAGGTTTGGTCACTACTCTTCAGCTGTGTGCCTCAGGTTTTGTGGATTTTCCTCTGCGTAAATTCATTAATGTATGTAATTAGTGTCACATCAGTAGATTTTCGCAGACGAAAATATACAAAAAACTAGGGTAATTTAGATTTTCTTTTTTTCTATTGTTTCATTCATGATACGAACATTTTCCTCGCCGAGATTTAAATCCAGCATTTCTGAGTTTGCGAACTAGCGTTAAAATAGTTGTTTAGCAACTGTTGTATTATGAGGGGTATTAAAACACGAATGTGGGTATAGCACTGTCTTAGTAAAACGGGCGTGAATGACAATGATTTTGTTTTTTTAATTCATAATACCACGCATCAAGCAGTGAAAATTGTGGCTGTCTGATAAGTAAGCCCTCAGCGCGGAAGTGATTTATAAAGCGAAAGAGTATACTTATTACATTTATTAAAAAAAACCATTATAACACCCAACCAGATGTTGTAATGGGGTTTTTATTTTTGACATTGGATGTTTTAATGTTGGCAATAAGCTAATTGTTTCGAATCTTAAATAGAGGTTTTAAAGTTAGATAAAAAATAATAATCATCGCTGCATAGTCCTATTAATAAAGCTATCGCAGATAACATGTAATAACAGTTCTCTGAGAGAAAAGCAAACATCCTTATCAATACTTGATACGCTTGTAACAAACATTTTGTGCAGTACTGAAAAAATGGGGGAAAGCTCCATACGTAATATGAGGGTATACGAAATAGCAATTGTTTATTGCAGTGTGCGTGAACGTAGCCGAGGCAGAAAAAGTCCAGTCAGCTGGTCGCAGAAAGTGAGACACCAATGGCATAAATCACCGAAGCGCAAAAGCGAAGACAAGGGTAAGCTTTTTCTTTATAATATACATTCATTTATCTATGCTTATTTATAAAAATCAATGACATAAACAGAATAAATAGACGATCCACTTCATAGACAGCTATTGTACAACGCCATCTGTTACTAGATCAGTACAACATTATGTAACGCGGCGTTCAATGAAAAGTAGCAGTTATATTGATGTTACTTTTAGTTTGCAGCATTCATAACAGAATGCGCTAATATTGTATTTTAGTTCTTTCTCGAAAATTATATTAAATAAGCCCAGATTAGCTGTATTGATTATACACGATGTTTTTTGTTATTATCCCTTTACTTTTTATTTTAATTTTATGTATACAAACATTATATAATCTTAATAATAGATTTAAAAACAACACATCGAATAAGATCGGCTGGACCAAAATTATTTATCGTCACCATAAATGCAGACATAATCGATCTGACTTAGAAAAGTAATTTATCGATAACTTCAACCACTCAACCGAACTATGTCAGGTTTAATCTGGACGAAGTTTATGTAAGGAAATAGAAAACTCATTAAAGTATTCATAATGAATTTTAAAAAACAATAATGTAATGTAACAGACATCAAATTAGAATAACCCAAGATAAACAAGCCATCAAAGTTGGAACTTGCCGTCTCTTGCGCAATGCGGTGACAGACATCCCACGCCCTATTCACGTTTTATGATTATTAAATTCTAGAATTTAGTGTCGGTTTGGATTGTCTGCAATTCATTGATTGCTTTCCTGTGTATAACATGAGTTTAAGGCATTAGGAAACTAATTGGCTAAGTATTAAACATCTATTAACTACGAGATGATATTTTTTCCGCCCATCAACTTAATTACTCTCTCCAACCAAAGGCTAAATGTAGCATCATTGTGTTATAGCTACAAGAATAAGATTTATAGAAATATATACATATATGGATCTTTCTTGATTTGGTATGTCTTCATACTCTGACAAACCCACAATAGATCAAAGTTTAAATTTCCTGAATTGTTATAGAAATTGTGAAAAAAAACATGGAATATTAATGCGGAATTGCGTACTTTTGTCACAGTACCTATTCAGTTATTAACCTCAAATGAAATACTAAAGCGTACCTACAAAACATATTTGCTCCCACGCTTTGCGATAAAATGTACAAATCCATCTAAAACTGTGGACGTGTTGCAACAAGTTCATGGACCCTGTTGGTGGCGCCCGCGCAGCCTGTGTGGTGGGCGGCCGCTAATCGTTGCCGGATTCCATACCGTAAACGCCTTTGCTTAACCAAACTGTACCATTTTTTATGTCAGTAACCTTAGAATAATTAAATTATTAGTTACTAGCTGACCCAGCGAACTTCGTACCGCCCTAAAAAAATAGGGGTTGTCCAGCGGACAAAATTGTGAATCTAAACCATTCTCAGATCCCCTTGAACACACACAAAAAATTTCAGCAAAATCGGTCCAGTCGTTTAAAAGAAGTTCAGTGACATACACACTCACAGAAGAATTATATATATAAAGATATTCGAGTAATGAGTAACAAAATCGTGAAGTGAAAGCTATCCATTCAGATGAAGACAAAACCAAATTTCCAAGTTTTGTACTAAGTTAGATATTTTTAAAGCCGTAAAGATTAAGATCGATCGATCGGTAATTTAGCGTTTTGCGGACAGATTTCTGTGAGATTGAAGAACTCAGCAGATATTTTAATACAGCTCTAGTTATTTAACCTAACTGTAAAATATGGTAGAAGCACCTGTAGTAGGCAATATAAAGAATATAGATAGACTATACCATTTTACAGTATAATATGTTCTTACATTAAAACATATAATGTATAGATTCAAATTTTAAGTAGCAACTTTTATTCCAATTGAAACCATAATAAAATTTGAATCAGTTCCTATTACGTATGAAAACATACACAATGGCAGGTAATCGTATAATCGTTATATCGATTCACTGCGTCTCCTGATATGGTAACGATTACTACTGACCTACTTAGATACCAGGTTTATTCAGAACACCACACAACACTAGCTGTAGCTGAAATGCAACTGCCGTGTAGTGTCTTTAGTCAATTGAATAGTTTCCGTGTTCATCACGGAATCGTGTTCACTGACAATTTTGTGAATAGGCAGTGTCGCAGTCGTCCAGACGTTCACTTTTTCTTCATTAGTCATTATTTTCGTTGGAAATATTTAAAAGTTAGTATAACATATTTTTATTTTTACTCTTTTAACTTCGCTTTGGTGGCATTCAATTTGTGTACCGTGCGCTCCAATCTGCCTTTTGTTCTGTAATCCGAGTAATTGAGACTGTTCTTGAGTCGCCAGTCCATATCAATATAAATAAGTTACCTATTTGTAACTTCCAGGAAAGGTGCGGGAGAATTTGAATTATTTCTTATATTTTTTCTTAAGATATGTCTTCAAATAAATCAAGCAGTTTAGCCTATTTTAAATTCAATAAAATATCCCCTTAAATTCCATGTAATTATTTATTTCGCTTTTTGACTCCTATAGTAACCTATTGGCAAGTAAATTAATTATTTGTTAATACACAAAATTACTTACATTCATTTATACATTTTACAATATAAAGATAATAACTACTTCCTAGGCCAGCTCTTCTTCTTATGTTGGAAATTCAAAACAATCAGATGTTTACAAAAACTTTCTTTGTCTTTCCTTCCTGTCGTTTAATTGTAATTATACAAACAATAAAAATATTATTAAAACTGACAATTAGTATTATCACTCTTGATATCGACGTGAGTTCCTGGTAATTTGTCCCACATGTAACGCAGGTCATTATGTTAGGTATAACAAGCCTTTGTGATTGTCAACTGGAGTGGACTTCCTCTATGGGTGCGCGTTCGCAGCACGCGCTGCCCTGCCTAGCTGCAGCCGTCCTCATTATACCGTGACCAACTATAACTACTGCTTCCCTATTACAAAATAGATATTTGGTCAAAAAAGTTGTATTATGTGCTTACTCAAGCAACTAAACCAAGTAGTACAAGGTCAAGATTTTCAATTGTCTGTATTATAAGTATACGCCCGATTCATATTATTTATCGCTAGTTCCTACCATTACCATTTTAAGTCATTTGGATATAGAAATTCATCGTATTTTATCGGGTGATTTATATAGCCCAAAATATTTAAGAATAACTTTCCTTAGCTCAAAGTAATGAAGAAAATAATATTATCACTATGTTAATGAACATGAAAAACTATACAATAAAAAACTAAAATGAACATTTTCAAAACGGTAGGGATATATGGGAAAGTAACGTTACAGCTATGAAAAGATGGAAAAATCCAGCTGTCCATAAAGACAGTAGTATACAAATCTTACTTGGAATGGGAATATGGTGGAAGGGTTAGCTGGAACCGGGGCAGAAACGGAAACATTTCCATAAAGAAAAAAATAACGTTAGAATTTGAAATTGGAAAATCATCCAATCCCATGTAATATAAATATAATAAATGAGTGAAATAAGATTAATAAATTGAAATGAATATAAGATTTTTATAACTAAGTATCTGCGCTGTATCTCATAAACCCTGACAGCACAAAAAGATAAACTGTCTCTATTTTGTACTAACAGTTAGACAAATATTAGTTGAAATTTCCACAGAATGTGTCTATTTCTGTTGACGATATAACAACAAATTATATAAATATAAACCTCGGTCTCCCTCCATAAGTATGCAATGAAACACATTGCTTGCGTAGTGTAACTATGAATGTATGTATAATTTTTGCAAATGTTATTAACAGCGGATGCGAGCTGAGACTGAGAGACATTGGAGAAATAGTTTTTGAAAAAACTATTGCTGTTACGCATGGGCAAATACCGTGCGATAGGGACAACTGTAGCTAACGCTGAAAATTACGTAGAAAAATTGCAAAATTCGAGTTTAGGCTCTCGACTATTTCTTCCTCGAAAATTAGATACATGTTTAAGAAATTTTTACCCATAGAAGTATCAGTAGTTATGCTAGGCCTCTGTTTTGCTTTTTTGTAAATTCTTAGTGAATCGTCTTGAAAACACTACGTCTTTATTCGTGATAAAATTTGTTTATTTTTGTCATTTTTGAGGGCTTCTAGTTTCTTTGAAACACAAAGATATCGAAAAAAGGAAGTCATACATAGATTGAGCAAAATTATATTGTATGTATGAAAATCATTTCTTTTGCGATAAAAATTAAGGAAAAGTCGATCGAGAACGTTTGTATATTATGTCTTAACCTTGTACTAAGGTACGAAACCCTTTGTTGCTAGTCCGACATGCACTTGGCTGATTCTGTTTTTTCTTTAACTTTCATAGTAACAATGCGGTTTATTAACTAATGGTAACAAATGGACATAGATATCAAACTACGTCATTTAATATAATTGGTGGGTAAAACCAATTACTTAGTGATTTTTAACGACAGGTTTGGGCAAGGGATCATAACTGGCCGAATGGATTTTTTTTTTCTTTAAGTTTTTCAATGTAATAAATCTTATAAAAGCAGAAAACAATATAATTTCTACTTTGACCAAACCGGAACCTCAAAGGTGGACTGAGTCAAAATTAAAGAAAGCCTAATTAGTTGCGGACGTAGTGTTTTTTTTTCTATAGATGTAGCCATAAGTACCTTTTCTCTCTTATATAATAGCAAACGTAGGGCAATGCAAAACTAGTATGTACGTACATATAAAGACGGGTCAGAGTTTAAGTCGAGGGAATACGCAGTGCAGACCATGGCAAACATTAACTATAGAGAGGTAAAGACCTTTTCTACATTAAGAAAACTATTTACTAACTCGTATAATCTTAACTTAAAAACAAAGGTTCCCTACCGAAAGGATGAAAACAGGCAAACGGAACCCTATAATTTGTCTAGTCTGGGCTCTGTATCGGAAACGGAACGGCAATATACTTGTAGATACTTTAAATTGGTACCTACATAATAACATTAACTCTACGACAACAAAAAAATTGAAG